CCAGTGGAAGGCTGAGGCAGAAGGATCGCCGGAGCCCAGCAGGTCGAGGCTTCAGTGGCCGGGAGCAGCCACTGCACTCATCTGGGCAACAGAGTGAGACTCCAACTCAAAAAACAAAAAAAAAAGAGCTAGTTTAAAAATAGAAAAACTAGAAGAAATATTCAGACGATGGTAGAACTTCTTTAGGGACAAAACTGTGTACATTTCGAAGAACAAGAAGGAATCACAAAGAACAAAAATGACAAATCTGTTTCAATAAAACTATTAAAAATGCATGTTAGCAAAATACTATAATAATAACCAGAATTCAAAGTCAGACAACATGGGAAAATATTTGCAGAAAATGTGACAGCCAGAGACCTGATATCTTTATTATGTAAAATGTTCATAAAAATTGATAAGACAAAAATAAAATTCCAAGAGCATAAAACAGACAACTCACACACAAAAATTAAAACTAGTAAACACATGGGAAAATATTTGACTAAGCTGGTAATCAAAGAAATTCAAAATAAAACAATAATTTTAAAAAATTTTAACTAGTAAAAAAATATAAACATGTACTTTTATAAAACTCAATTCTGCTGAAGATATTAAATTGAGATTCTTATATTTTGTTGCTGATATTCTATAAATTGGTACCTCCTTTTTGAAAAACAGTTTAGCAGTACAATATCAAGAGTCATAAAAATATTTATAACCTTTGACCCAGTAACTTTACTTCTGGGAATCTATCCTAAAGAAAATTAATCCAAAATATGGAAAAAATTAAATGTCTAAAATAAATTGGGAAACATTAAATGTCTCACAATAGGGGAGTGATTAATACATCATGGTACAATCACGGGATAAAAAACAACATAGCCTGGCCAAGGTGAGAGGATTGCCTGAGCCACGGATTCGAGACCAGCCTGGACAACTTGGAGAGACCTCATCTCTACAATTAAAAAATAAAAAGTAAAAAAAATCAGCTGGGCACGGTGGTGCACACCTGTAGTTCCAGCTACTTGGAACACTGAGGTGGAAGGATCGCCGGAACCCAGCAATTCGACGCTGGGGTAGTGGTGAGTGTGCCACTGCACTCTAGCCTAGGCCATGGAGTGAGACTCCAACTCAAAAAAAAAAAAAAAAAAATAGCCCTTATAATTACTGGAATATTAAAGATGCTTGTGCTTTAATATTAAATAAAAGCTAATAAACATTTATGTATAAAAAGATGTAGAGGAGAAAAGAATGAAGTAAATACACCTAATTTTAAGTGGTTGAGATAAAATAGCAGGCCTAACAGTGAATTTGTTTCCCTTTATTTGCCTGTTTTTCATTATGTGGTTTCAGCCTATATACCTGAATTCATTTGCCTCCCTTTCTCAGCACCCAGTCCCAAGCTCCCCACCCAGCTTCCAGAGCCCTTCCCACGTGTGTCGGTGCCACTCAAATTCCAGCTCATCCAAGAAACCCGCCCATCCCGCCAGCCAAATGAAACTCTCCCTTTTCCACGCTCCCATTGTGCTTTATTAACATTTCTATTATAGCATGCACACCATTTGCTTTGTGTGGAAATGATATACGCACAGTATGTGTTTCTGCAACTAAATTTCTAAACCCCTAGAGGGCAATAACTGGTTCATGTGTTTTTTCCTCCCTACAGCATAGAGCACAGTGCTTTGCCTGTATGATATGCCTGAATAAATATTAGTTGGAATGAATCTCATAGCACTGCAGTGAACAGTGAACTCCTTCTGATTCCCTGGCAGGTGGAGCTCACGAAGGGCTGCAGCACTTGGGTCCTTTTGGCAACATCCCCAACATCGTGGCAGAGTTGACTGGCGACAACATTCCCAAGGACTTCAGTGAGGATCAGGGCTACCCAGACCCTCCAAATCCCTGTCCTGTTGGAAAAACAGGTAATGGGCCTGTCCTTGGGTTCCCATGGAAAGTTGAGGCTTTGGGAGGAAATGAGAAATTCTAACACCAGCTACAAATATTCCCAGGAACTGTATTACAAATACATATGAGCCCATATGTATTTGTAAATGGATGGAAAAGGGAAATTTATTCTAGAGTTCCCCTGTTCATGCACACCTGCATAGGACTCCTCTTTCTGTCCCTCCCCTTCTTTGGGAATTGATGCTCTTTTCTATACTTGCTACTCTTTTAATTAAAAGGAAAAACAATTTTTTCCCCTCCTTCTAGGATACAACGCCTGCTCATTTTTGGTGTCTTTAGAACTGTTAATTTGTGGATTATCCGTGTCTGTTTGTTTTTCTTACTCTCCTTGACAGCCACCATTTTAACCATGTCACATGTCAGCACCCAGTTAGTATTTATCCTGACATCCCATTTATTTGAGGACCGGGTGGTGGCACGAGAGAGAAGGGTTTTGGGAAGGTAAAAGTTGTTTAAGGAAGAAGGTTGAAATTTTCCATGCTGCTCATTATACCTCCCACTTTCCTACCCCCTCATGACAAAGAGAATGGTGAGTGGGCTACACTTATGCTGGGCTTTGAGCAGCTTACCTTGGTGGTTCCGAGTAGTGGTTCTGGACTCAGACGATCTGAGTTCAAATTCAAGATCGACCTATGTGACTTCAAACAAGTTAATTAACAACACTGGGTCTCACTTTCCTCATTTGTCAAATGGAGGTCGTGTGGGAATTTAATAAAATTATCCATGTAAGGCATTTAGCACAGCATTTACCTAGCACAGAGTAAAGACTCATTAAATATCATCCTGTTAATAATTCACTTCACCACTCATAAATAACGCACTTCCGACCTTGGGCTTATGCTGACTTCTAGCACGAGAGTAGTCTTTTTCCCCAAGTCTAATAATAATAATAATAATTGGTATTTTTTATGCCTACTTTACATTAAGACAAATAAAGCATCAAGAGTAATTTGCCTAGTTAGTCAAGTAGCAAGTAATTGAGTCAAGACTCAAATCCAGGTCTACCTGATTAGGAACTGTATACTCAACCATCATGACATATTGCCTTTCTCTGAAAATTGAGACAGTTTTGACCCCTCAGCTCTTTTTTGCTTTTTTTCTTATTTTTCTTATAATACCTAGAAATGGTCTGACCTCAGCTTTTCTTAAACACAGTACAGACTGTCTCTGAAAGAAGATAATCCTCCTTTCACCTAGGGTGAGGCCTCTGAACTTCCATCTTGAGATGGAATGACCAAGATAATTGGATGTGACCAAAGCCAATGTGAGGCTGCTGGCCCAGGAAGGCAGGAAAAACTGAATCACTACCTGGCTTCAATTACTTCAAATACATTTTACTTGCATGTAGGGTTTTGGATGGGTAGGAAAAAGGACCAGCTCAGAATTTGGAGAGCACCAATTTCCACAGGAGTCTAGTCAAATTGATTTGATGCAGTATACTGTAGTGGTTCTTTTTTTAAAAAAATTGATAAATAGATTCATTTTATTTTAATAAAAAATCCAGTATACACAAAAAATATAATATTCATAAAACAGTATGTTCTAAATAACATAGTTCTACATATAGAAGAAAAAGTGGCTACAAATTTGAGGAGAAATGGGCAAAACTGTATTTCTCTAAATCTTAGAAATATCAAAAGACAAAAATACTAAGTATACCAAAAATTAATATTTGAATGACTTGAATGATATGATCAATAAGACAGATATAATGTGTATATGCTAAACTTTATGTGTTACAGAATACAGCAATGGGAACTTTATAAATATTAACACATTTGAGGCCACATTTAAAAACCCTCAATAAATACCCCAAAACAAAATTGCACAGTTGACATTTTGTGACCGTGTTACAAAGGGGGACCCCCCAAAACCAGAATTATCTTTTTGAGGGTGGGCCTCTTGTATTACAGACTTCTTCTGCTAGTAAGTGTTCTAGGAACTCATAAACATCAGTGAACCGGCTAGTGTTGTTGTGAGAGGCTGCGTTTGGCTTCAGTGAATTTTTCTTTTTTGGAGATTATATAATGTGTTTGCCCATTTCATGATAAGTGATTTAGGAGCACACCTGCCCACACTGCAGTGGCTCTTAAAGTGTAATCCCAGGAATAGCAGCAGCAGCAACAGCATCACCTGGAAACTTGCTAGAGATAACAATTCTCGGGTCTTATCCCATTCTCTTGAATGAGAAACTCTTGGGGTGGGACCCAGCAACCTTGTTGTAGCCAGCCCTTCATATGATCCTGGTGCACAGCAAAGTTGGAGACCCACTGTTATAGGAGAACGAGACCCAGAGATTGAGCTGTTCTAGTCTTGATTATAGTATGTTATTTTGCTTCCTTGGGCCTCAGTCTCTTCATCTGTATAAGGAAGACATAGTCAATGCCTTAAAGAAACATGTGTAGTTCGAGGTTACCCTAAAAATAAAGTACAGACCTCTGCAATCTAGCACTTGACTGTGCCTTTAGAAGCTCTGAAGGGAGAACAGTCAAGCTGGGCTGACAGAGTTGGCTAAAACCCCAACTCTAAATACTATCTTGTTATCTATTGGGTTATCTCCCATTTCCTTTGCTATCCTTCCCTTAAACTAACATATTTCTCATTATGTGTTCTACCACAATTTGCGCTCCAAGAAGGAAATCACTTACTAAATTTAGCCATTGTTTGTAAGAAATTGCTTGTGTTCTGCCTCGCAGAATCATGAGAAGCATAACACACTTGAGCAATCCAAGAATGAAACCTAGACTTCCCCTTCCCTTGCCATGCTCTTCTCTGAGTCGTGATCCTCTCACCCCGGATGGAGGAGCTCCAGACCAAAGATTCCACCTCAGCTTCAAGGATAGGTTGTGACGTCTAGGGCACATCTGCAGGCCCTAAATACCTTTGGTTCCCAGAGCAGGTTTATTCTCTGCCTCTCAGTCTGGGCCCACTCACAGATACTCAAGAAACAAGTATAAAAAGCTGGAAAGATGCCATATGCAGATTGCCTAAACTCTCTTGATTTGGTATCTCTTCCCTACATGTCAATTGCTGTAGACACAGAAGTTAGATAACGAGCAACTAGTGAAAAGTAGGCAACTTGGCCGGGCTCGGTGGCTCAGCCTATAATCCCCGCACTTTGGGAGGCCGAGGCGAGTGGATTGCCTGAGACTGCGTGTTCGAGACCAGTCCGGGCAACCTGGCAAGACCTCGTCTCTACAATAAAATAAAAAATAAAAAATAAATAGCCAGCTGTGGTAGTGCACCTCTGTAGTTCTGGCTACTCAGAAGGCTGAGGCGGAAGGATCGCTGGAGCCCAGAAGGTCGATGCTGGGGTGACCGTGAGCAGGCGTGCCACTGCACTCCAGCCTAGGCAAAGGAGTGAGACTCCACATCAAAAAAAAAGAAAGAAAGAAAAGAAAAGTAGACAACCACATGAGCAGCCTCAAGAGTGAGACAACCTGGCTCATTGTAAACAGACTCCCTTTCAGAATTGACTTTTTTTTTTTTTTGAGTCAGGGTCTCTGTCACTCAGGATGGACCTCCTGGACTCAGGCGATCCTTCTGCCTCAGCATCCCAAGTAGCTGGGACTGAGATGGTGGTATAGTGGTGAGCATAGCTGCCTTCCAAGTAGCTGGGACTACAGGTACACACCACCGCACCTGGCTGATTATTATTATTCTTAAAATTTTTTTGTAGAGATGAGGTTTCGTTATGTTGCCCAGGCTGGTCTTGAACTCCTGGGCTCAAGCAATCTGGCCTCTCAGCCTCCCAAAGTGCTGGGTTTACAGGCTTGAGCCAATACACCTGACCTCAGCATTGACTCTGATGCCTTATTATTCCTTGGAAGTGAAACACTCTTACTACCTCCCCCAGCCCTGCACAAAATTCGCAGTCCCTCCCTGTCCCCCTTTTTTATAGCTGTTGTTTAAATGTTGTCTAAAAATGGGAAAAAATGATTCCTTTTTCAGAGCATCATACCTAGTAAGGATGGGGCTTAGGGAAAAGCAGCACCAAGAGGGATAGACTTCTTTCTTTGGTTTCAATGGAAAACATGCTATATTTCAAAGAGCAGTGAGTATAAATTCTCATTTAAAGGGAGATGGTAGGAAGGGAACTGAAACATGTTGTAAACCTATTATGCACCAGATGTTCTATTTGTAATCATCTCTACTCCTCACAACAACACTGTAAGGTGAGTATTTGGTTATTCGCATCTCGCGTTTTGCATCTCGCAATTCATTAAAAGGACTCAGAGAAATAAACTGCCTTTCCAAAGGAGCTAAACCCACCCATCACTTATGAGTTGGGTTTTTTGTTCTTAAACTGTGGTCTGTCTGACTCCAAAGCTGAAGCCATTATCACAGTAACACACAACATCAAGTACTATCTGGAGATTGTTGTTATTGGGTAATGAATCTTCTCCAAGAAGCTGAAGTCGTTTTTAAGGGGCTCACTCAAGAGAAAACAGTGAATCATGTGCAATGGAGGTATATTAGTTAAGGAAACACTTGCTGCTATAATAGCTTTAAAAAATTAGTGGTGCAACACAATAGAAGTTTATTTCTCACTCGTGTGAAGTCCTGCCAGAGGTGGGTGAGGGTGTTGTGGGAGGTGGGTGGTTCAGCATCTCAGACTGCCATCCTTACACTCGACATCCACAGTTGCCCTGGCAACATGGAGCAAGCAGTCCAGCAGATGGGGGTGGGAGGTGGGGCGAAGGAGTGGAGCATTACATGGAAGGTTTTTGTGGGCCGGGCCTGGAAGTGGAATCCATCCTTTCTGCCCACATTCTGTTGGCCCGCACACAGGTACATGACTCCACCTGACTGCAAAGCAAGCCTGGGAAATTAGTCTAACTGTGTGTTGAGAAAGAAGGGGAAGTGGACTTGGTGAACGAACAGCCAACGAGTCTCTGACAGGAGGTGGAGTTCAGGATAAGCAGTCCCTTCCAACAGGGAGACTGGATCCCAGAGGGAAAGTGATTCAGAGTGGCTGAGGGGAACAGATTCTGACTTTGAGCATCTAGTTGTTTTTGATCTTTTAGAATGATGATAAATGCCTTGGCCATTCCTCAAAAACCTTTGACTGTTTGCAGTAGATGATGGATGTCTAGAAAACACCCCTGACACAGCAGAGTTCAGTCGAGAGTTCCAGTTGCATCAACATCTTTTTGATCCGGAGCATGACTACCCAGGCTTGGGCAAGTGGGTAAGTCCAATCTCAACTGTTCCTAGATTTTGCACTCTGGTACTCTGAAGGTAATGGTGGCAGAGATGAGCAATATTGTTGGGGGGAGAGAGGAAAACTTGGTTAGAGGCTGATTTTTCAGAAACCTCTGGTTGAGAGGGACTCTACATGATTGCCATCCCAAACCACATTCATGGGTCAAGACAGCAATATACCAAATCCTTCCCAAGAAACAGCAACCTAACATCAGCTACAGTCTCCAGATGCTACTATTCTGGCCTACTCCACAGCCTGTGACACATCCTAAAGTCACACAGTATTTCATGAAGCTCTTATAGAATTTTATCCAAAGGATATGATTGATTTTTTTTTTTTTACAAAGACACTGAGAAAATGTGCACATTTGATCTCTAGACTAAGGAAGATAATCTCTGCAGGATCAAGGGAAAAAAGATCCATAGCTTAGAAACAACATATGTAGTTCTGCTTTATGGAAAGAGAAAATATATCCAAAATGAGCTTGCTGTCAGTCCCAGGCAAGTATGTACTGCTGTCAATAAAGGAAGTTGTTTTCAAGCACTTGGAAAGAGAAACCATGCCCATTTGGCTTCAGTGTGCTAAAAGTAAATCTTACCAATCTAATTGTATTGTTCCATTTGCCAACATTATTCATTTACTCACCCGCTTGGTGAGGGAAATGAAGTAGGCTTGGTGCACTTGGACTTCTGGAAAGTGTCTGACAGGATCGTTTATAATCTCCTATTTTTTTTAAATAGTGGCTTATGCATTCTTTTTTTTATTTTTTTGAGTTGGAGTCTCACTCTGTCGCCCAGACTGGAGTGCAGTGGCCGTTTCCGGCCACCGCAGCCTCAACCTGCTGGGCTCCCGCGATCCTTACGCTTCAGCCTTCCAAGTGGCCGGAATTACAGGCATGCGCTACCACGCCCAGCTGATTTTTTGATTTATTGTAGAGATGAGATCTCGCTACCCAGGCGGGTCTCGAACCCGTGGGCTCAGGCAATCCACTCACCTCAGTCTCCCAAAGGCGCAGGATTATAGGCTGAGCCACCGAGCCCGGTTGCATTCTATTTTATTTTATTTTTTATTTTAAAGATGTGAAGTATAATTCAGGATTAGTTATACAAGTGGTCATCAAACAGGTAAAGTTTGGGCTTCCCTTTGGTCCCCACTTAGCCTGGTTTGGGATCAGGTACCCTTATTGATGTTATGTGCCCCCTCCCTCAGCTGTGTCCCGTTACTACCAATCCCTTTCTTATAGAATTATGATAAATGTTCAGGGCCCTCTTATGAATGAGAACATGTGGTACTCGGTTCTTTGTTTCTGTGATAGATATGATCTTATATTGGACGAGATGGACAGATACAGCCAAGGCAATAGACTATCACCAAAAGGGAACTTATTAAAGAGTCCATGTCAATAGGAGGGAGATTTCACATGGTGTCCTGCATGTTTTAGCACTAGCTCACTCCACGTTTTTATCAGCATTTGTAATAAAAAGATAGAACTTGTACTTATCAGATTCTCAGAGGATGACATGAAGTTGGAAGAGATAGCACTGGATGACAGAATTGGGATTCAAGAAGATCCCAACAGGCAGGGACAATAAGTCAAACAAGATCGAAACTGAATGAGACTATATCTAGGTTCCTGTGTTGGGCCTGTATAATCAAAGGTGATAAAAGTGGGGAAATACTCAGGAATGTTCATTCACATAAGCAGTAGGTGGCCAATGCGTCTGTGGAATGAGCAAATGAATGAATGAATGAGTGAGTAGATACTCCAAACAACGTAAGCCCTTTTAAAGTCCTCACCTCAGCACATTACTAACAGATGACTTTGCTTCCTATTTCACTGAGAATACTGAAATCTCAGAACTAAGCTCCCTCCCTTCATTCTACACTGTTTTACAGCAAGATGTCCCTCCTCAATAATGGCCACTTTCATCATTTTCAGCATCTTACTTCAACATTGCATTGAGTCCGTTCCCTCTTCCTTCAACATTACATACACTTCCTGTCTTAAAACAACAAAGCAACAGCACCTCTAAGTTAATTTTGCTTCCTCTGATTTTTGCATTATTCTGCTCCTCTTCTTTTTCATATGGAGTTCTGTTTGGGAGAATTGGTTTATGGAGCCACTTTCAAGCCTACTGGTAGAGTTTAAACATGCTGAATTAAATAGAAAAGCATCTATAGTTTCTTGACTAGGAGACTGAAATCATGAAAGCTTTCTATAAAAATGAGACTGGAATCATTAAAGCCTTCTTTAATATGGTGGCATATTAAAGGATGAAATAATAAATGGAGAGGAAACTAAAGACAGGAAGAAAATATGGCAAATAATTCCAGTGGCGATGACTGTGAACATAGTGAAGAAAGGGGAGAATCCAAGACATTTCAAAGGGGATTAAACTAACTAGACTTGGTATATGGAATAAATATAGCATGAGGAGAAAAGAAGGGAAATTTCAGGTTTAATGAAGTGAACATTATGAACTTTTTCTCTGAGGGCACTTGTAAAAGAAAGAAGAGATGAAAGCAGAAGGAAGAAGGGGGAAAAAGGGAGAAGAGAGAGTGAGGGGCGGCATAGACAATCACAGAGGAGCCCTGGGAAGGGACCTGCAAGAGGGGAGCACAGCTTTGCCAAACAGAAGCAAAGCACAGATAGAAGATATTGTGTCTGCTTTGTTCCAGGCACCGTGCTAGGTGCTCAGTACATAGTAGTCGTTAGGACATGGCACTAGTCTTCAAAGAGCTTATAGTCTTATGTTGAGATAAATTGCACAAAAATAGAATGAACCCAATTTAGCACTGTTCAGCTTTGTATTCTAGCTGTACTCTGAGGACTGGAATCATTAAAGCCTTCTTTAATATGGTGGCATATTAAGGGGCAATTACTGAGAAAGATGGAAGACAAGGGTAGAAGGAGATCCAGGCGTGAGGACAGGGGTGGCGGATTAGTACAGCAGCCCCTGAGGAAGTCAAAGGCACTGAGGAGGGCAGCACTGAAGTCTTAGCTGGGAGGGTATCCAGCTTAACTGTAGACTGGAAATGAGAGAAAGGAGGAGGGGGTTAAAAAAACGGTCTGAGAGAAGAGGGGGAGCCCTACTGGTGGTGTGATAGGGTGGGAGGGATAGAAACGTCTCTCTTTCCAGATTTTTCTCTCACCTCTTCTTGGAAGCCTTTACAAATTTCTCTCACCAAGTTCCACTCACTCTCAACACTTCCATAAGAGACCAACCACCATCCTTAATTCTCTTTACATTCTTCTTGAAGCACTGATTTGTGTTTCTCTCAGTCATTCCCATTCTACATTGCAGCTTAACTAGAATTTAGGACCATGCGTGAAAGTACTATTACAGATCAATGGCCAGGAACAATGTTTACACACCTTTTATCACCTGTACTTACGTGTTTGTTTAAACTTCATTTCCTTGTTTATTTTCTTATTACCACCTATCAGCAAAACATGATTTCCTTGATCTTCTCATGGAAGTGTGAATTGAGTTTATCTTGCTTTTCTAAGACTTTTCTTCTATGTTTATATAGAATGATAGTCTCAGACTTGTCTTCAGCACAGCTATCCTTTAAGTTAACAAAGTAATCGTGTTTCACGATAGAACTGCACACAGAACCCTGCTTCTTTTTTGCTAATACTGCTTCCCTATACTTGACAATAGCTGGAGTGAAGCTGTATCTTTAGCAGTGATCCACATCTTATACGTATCGGTGTCTGTCTTGTTTCCTGCATTTCTTTCTCTTTGCTAATGTATCAAGACACATTTAGTAAATGCAAATCATATGGCTTCTAAGCCCTGTGTCAGGTGATGAGAATGCAAAGATGAATAATAATAATCGTATTACATAACACAAAAGTGAATCGTAATGTTTATTGAGCACATACTATGTGCCAGATACCACGCGAAGTGCTTTACCTCAATTATCTCCTTTAATCTGCCCATCCTTATCAGTCTCATTTTACAAAGTACAGGCTTGGAGAGCTGAGGACCCCGCTTAGCAACATGGAGCTGATGATTGGCAGACATTATTTGAACCTGATGGCAGAGCTGGGCTCTGAACCAGATCATCCGACTCCAGAGTGCTTTAAAAATGGAACACATTCTCTATCTTTTCATGGCTCATTGCTCATACTGTGTCCAGTGCAGCATTTCTATTGAGGACTGGCTGCCTTTCAGACAACATATCCAACCACAGCAGTAGGGGCTACACCCAACGCTGCCTACTTAGATGCTAGCACTCTCTTCTTTATGCGGTAACTGCTGAGTGACATTTACACAGGAAAAAGTTGTCTCTAAAGGCAAATGTTGCTCCCTTCCAAATGCTTTTCCCACCTTTTCATCAGCAGCTGCTCACAGCCAGAGCCTGTGCCATGGGAGAAATAAGGGACTAGGACCCTCTCTCTGACTTTCTTTGTCTTTACTGACTTCAACCTGTTTGTTGAGTCTAGGGCTCTTCAGTTTGGGATCGACTCAGGTTTCCGTGTGCTTAGATTTGAGTTATGTCTTTTTGACATATGCTGCTTTGTACTTTTTTTTTTTGAGTTGGAGTCTCACTCTGTCACCCAGACTGGAGTGCAGTGGCCGCTCCCGGCCACCGCAGCCTCGACCTGCTAGGCGCCGGCAATCCTTCCGCCTCAGCCTTCCAAGTAGCTAAAACTACAGGCGCGCGCTACCACGCCTGGCTGATTTTTGATTTATTGTAGAGATGAGGTCTCGCCAAGTTGCCCAGGCAGGTCTCAAACCCGCGGGCTCAGGCAATCCACTCACCTCAGCCTCCCAAGGCGCGGGATTACAGGCTGAGCCACCAAGCCCGGCTGCTGCTTAGTACTTTAGGTCAGGAAGCATATTGTCAGTCTGTCTCACGCCTGGTAGTGTTAACTTTGTTCACCTCGTAAAAGTGGCACCTGTCAGATTTCTCCATTGTAGAATTATCAGTTTTACCTTTGAAATTAATGAGTAATCTGTGGAAGATATTTTGAGACCATGTAAATATTCTGTTCCCCATTAAAATTTTAACCAACAAATTTAGCATCTATTGATGATGCTTATCAGAATCAACTATAACTATGACAGTTGAAAATAGTAGTATTCTTTCTGCATTTACTAGCTGACACTCTACTCTGAACAAGCTTTCCCTGTTTTCCTATGTATTTGTGTATAAATGTGTTTATTTCTTTAGTATCAGTATGGATTCATGGATTCCGGTTATTATTTATTTTGGTGTTCAACTGTCCTGAATTTGACCAGTGGGAGTCTCCTCAAGCTGGCTTCTCTCTCCTTATTTATTTATTTATTTAAGTTGAGGTCTCACTCTGTTGCCTAGACTGGAGTGCAGTGGCATGATCATGGCTCACTGCAGCCTCAACCTCCTGGGCTCAAGCAATCCTTCTGCCTCAGCTTCCCAAGTAGCTGGGACTACAGGTGTGTGTCACCATGCCTGGTTTATGTTTTTTATTTTTATAGAGACGAGGTCTTGTTATGTTGTCCAGGCTGGTCTCAAACTCCTAGGCTCAAGTAATCCTCCGGCCTCTGCCTCCCAAAGTGCTGGGATGACAGGCATAAGCCCTGACTAGACTTCCCTTTCCTTTTGACCTGACCCCATCACTTCCTTACCTTGGGACCTCACTACATGTTTCAACTTCACTTATCCTTACGCTTCCCTTACCCTAGCCATGGAAACAGTCATTTCTATAAGAAGCCCCCGGTTTCATTTAGGGGTGTAATTTGAAATGAGGATCCAGGCACTTGTCCAAAATCTTGATGGCCGAATGGAACACCCTTTTAATGAACTCCAACCTGCTACTCACATGGAAAACAGGCTTGCCATGCCCCAAGGAATCAACAAGGAATGGGTGTCAGGAGACGCAGCCAGTTTCTTCTCATCATTTTATATATTTATTTTACTCACACTATACCTGCTAAGCCCTACCTTTAAATACACACAATAACAGGACTATTCCAGGCAGCCACTTATGCAGGGGTGAGAAAGCATTATCCTGCTAACCTCAACCCAACTCTTAGGGCAACGCAGGGACCACCTTTGAAAGGAAGACTAGCCAGACATTTGGCTTTTTTTTTTTTTTTTTTTAAGCAAAGACCCTTATGGATATAATCTGCCCCAAGGTCTTATAGTGGAGATTTAAGTATGCTGCCTCTACCCAGCTGGTGACACAGTGGAACTCTGCCAGGGCTGGTGATAGTCCCACCCATGGTACCAGCTCTCAGGCCCCTCAGCACGCCATCCAGCTCAAGCAACTGAACACGATGGTGCACATGAGAAAGCCACGTCCTCATCTGCTCCCCCTTTCCTTCCCAGCTCTGGCACAAACTCCCAGGACATCCTCTGCATCAAGAGTTGTCACATTCACAGAAAGACAACCACAGACTAAAGGGAATGCACCTCACAGCAATATCCTCATTCCTCAAGGGGAGGATCTGCAAGGCTGCCTTTTCTCTCTTTCGTTATTAAATTGCTCCATTCTGTGTTGGCGAGGTGGCTCACCCTTATAATCCCAGCACTTTGGGAGGCCAAGGTGAGAGGATTGCCTGAGTCCACGGGTTCAAGACTAGCCTGGGCAACTTGGCAAGACCTCATCTCTATAATAAATCAAGAAAAATTAGCTGGGCATAGTGGTACATACCTATAGTTCCAGCTAATTGGAAAGCTGAGGTGGAAGGATCACCTGAGCCCAGTAGGCCGAGGCTGCAGTGACCATGAGCATGCCATTGCCCTCCAGTCTGGGCGACAGAGAGAGACTCCGACTCAAAAAAAAAAAAAAGAAACTGCTCCATTCCCTAAGTGAGCAGGAGATAGAGGCGGCAGCCAGTACTGGTGTTTTTGGCAGTAGAAGCTCCTTCACTCCTGGCATGACCTCCTTGCATAGTTGAGGTTGGGCAAAAGATATGCATTGTCAATTGCAGGTGGGGTCGATTTTAATGAACATGAAAATGTTGAGGCTCATTCTTGGCATTTGGCATTTTCACTTCCAAATCTACCATTTAAAAACAAAACCCAAAACCCCAAAAAAACCTTATAACCAGCTCAGAGGCTACAAGTGTTGCATAAACTTGTTCCTTACCAGAACTCTGTCATCTTCTTCTTTTTTTAAAACGAACATCAGGGGATTTTATTTAGAGCAAGATAAATCGCCTCTTTCATACATTATTTTCCTCCTGATTAAGAAATCAAGTAAATAAAACAACACAAGTAAAGCCCCCTCAAATCCCTTTCTCCCTTCTGCCTTCAGGTTAAGTGTTCTGTCTTTTATAATCTCAATATAAGGGAAATCTGCTGAGCATGTGTCTGATATTCTAGAGCTCATTTAAGTCCACTACGTGTTTGAAATACAGCAATATGTGGAAACACTTATACAAACTGTGGTTACAGAGCCCTTGTTCCCCACCCCCCTCCCCAACATAACTTTCTTTTCTGCCAAGAAGTTTTTTGGCAGTTTTTAAAAGGTTCACTCTATTAAAAATGTTATAGACCAAATGGTTTTCCAATTGTCTTGACTGGGGGCACTGACTTAAGCCACAGAAGGAATGGTTGCAGAAGTTAGAATGCCTCGTTTCTTTACATAGAGGATTGCTGTTAATAGACACTGCTCCAGAGAAGAGTTTGTGTGTACAGTTCATAAAAAGGGAGTTAGAGGCAAAAATAAATGAGATAAAATTATTTATTTTAAACAGAGTCTCTTCAAAGTGAGGAGATGGGTTTCCAGCACCCCTTGTGTTTTAGAATGCCATATTTCCCTGTTTATGTGATTGTTGATGGCACTGGTGTGCCTCAGGGCGTTGCAGAGTACTTTATTAAAAGCTGCACAACCACCAGCTTCTCTTTTGTGGTCTATCTTTCTGACACGACATTCCTTTCATCTAGTTTTGTTTCCAAAATATGTGTATGCAAATATCTAGGGAACACACCAAGTATTGCTTTTAAAATAGACATTTACCAAATTTGATCCATACTTCTGCCTTTGTGTTTTCTTTTCCCCCCACTCTAGAATAAGAAACTCCTTTACGAGAAGATGAAGGGAGGACAGAGACGCAAGCGGAGGGTAATACGTGGCTGGCCGGATTGTTGCTGGGACGCTTGGAGCTTTCTGAGCGGGGCAGTGGGCGAGCTGGAACTCTAGGTTGTTGGAAAGTCACAGAATCCTTTCTCATGCAATCCAGACAGTGTAGAACAGTGGCCCTATGTGATGAGGGCACCACCCAGAAAGGCTGCCCTTGGTTTCCGCAACGGCTTCCCCGGGCTTTAGCACGTGATATTTTTAGTGGAATGCCCAGTTTGTGAAGATTCCATCACCTCCATTTCATTAAGGAAATGTGTATTTCATCCCTCCCATCTGTGTGGGTATGCGGGGAGTACACGAGGATGTGTCTGTCCTCAAAGGCAGTACATGAGGATGAGGGTCTGTCAGTCAGCGAGGGAAACTGACCACACATTTGTACCAGTTTTATAAAAACACAGCACAAGCCTGGGTGTGGTGGCTCATGCCTATAATCCCAGCATTTTGAGAGGCTGAGGTGAGAGGATTGCTTGAGCCCAGGAGTTTAAGACCAGCCTAGGCTGCGTACCAAGACCTCTTCCCTAGAAAAAAAATTTTTTAAATTAGCCAGGCATGGTGGCACTCATCTGTAGTCAGAGCTACTTGGGAGGCTAAAGCAAGAGGATCACCTGAACCCAGAAGGTTGAGGCTGCAGTGAGCCATGATCGTGCCACTGTACTTCGAACCTGGGTGACAAGAGTGAGACCCCAGCTCAAAAAACAAACACACAAAAAACATAGCACAGGAACAGGGAAATGCTGAACTTCAAGCTCCAGGCAATAATTCTGAAGAAACGTGGGAGCAAAAGGTGAGACGAACAAATCTCATTTCCCCTGCATATCTTTTTTCTTGGCCATCCAGGTTGAGGCAAAATCCGCTAAGTCTGTAATATTTGACTATTGAACTTACTGCAGACTGAGTTTTTAACCATCCCAAGGCTGCCCAAGGTGGGAACCTGCTCTGGGTGCTTCACATTTAGCTACTCCATATACAGTGTCACCTCACGTGAAGCTCAATGTCAAATTTGCTTTGGGTTTCCAATGCATTTTATGGCATCAAGACTTAATAAATGATCAAGGTCCATTCTTTAATCCACTAGTACCCCACTAGACAGAAGAGCTTGGCTGTCTGCCTCCTTTTTCAATCAGATGTAAGGAAAACAAAAATAAAAAACAACTACTATTGAGTAGTATGAGAGAGGACCCATAAAAAAATCAGAATTATCTTTTGAAGGGTAGCCTCCTGTAGCACTGGCTTCCCTACTAGGTAAGTGTTCTAGGAATCCATTGGCATCAGCATCAGTGTACCAGTTAGTGTAGTTATGAAAGGCTGTATTTGACTTCAGTGATTTTTTTTTTTTCTTTTTTAGATTCTTTCGGCCGGGCTCAGTTGCTCAGCCTGTAATCCCAGCACTTTGGGAGGCCGAGGCGAGTGGATTGCCTGAGCCCATGGGTTCGAGACCAGCCTGGGCAACTTGGTGAGACCTCGTCTCTACAATAAATCAAAAATTAGCTTGGAACTACAGGCCTGTAGTTCCAGCTGCTTGGAAGGCTGAGGCAGAAGGATCACCGGCACCCAGCAGATCGATGCTGGGATGGCCATGAGCGTGCCACTGCACTCCAGCCTGGGTGACAGAGTGGGACTACAACTCAAAAATACAATAATTAATTTAATTTAATAGATTTTTTTCAATACATTTGCCCATTTCATGATGGATGATTTATGAGCACACCTGCCCACACCATGCTGAGCGTTCAGCGGTTTTTGATGAAAAACAGCATGACCCACATGCCCCCACCCTTCCTGTTCACCCGATCTCACCCTAAGCAACATTTTTTTTGTTTCCCCAAAGAGAAAAGTCCACAAGGACAAACATTTTGCCAGTGTGGAAGAGGTGAAACAACAAACAAACAAAGCAGAAGTACTAAAAAACAGAAGCACTATAAAGCATCAAAATTGAGTTCTAAAACTTTTGAGCCAGGCGCGGTGGCTCAAGCTTATAATCCCAGCACTTTGGGAGGCCGAGGTTAGAGGATTGCCTGAGTTCAGGGGTTCGAGACCAACCTGGGCAATTTGGTGAGACCTCATCTCTACAATAAATCATAAAATTAGCCAGACATGGTGGCATGCACCTATAGTTCCAGCTACTTGAAAGGCCTGAGGCAGAAGGATTGCCTGAGCCCAGCAGGTTGAGGCTGCAGTGGCCGTGAGCATGCAACTGCACTCCAGGTTGGGTTACAGAGTGAGATTCTGACTCAAAAAAACAAACAAACAAAAAAACCAAACAAACAAGTTTGAGCAGTGGAAAAGACGTCTCGATAGCTGTATTGCACCAAATGAAGAGCACTTTGAAGGTAACTGAAGTTTAAATATGTAAGAGTAAATACACAATTTTTTAATAAATAAATTCCGGGTTTTGGGGGGTTCCCCCTCCTAAAGTACTACAAGATAGTAATGTTTGTAGTTAAGATATACAAACCTCACCATATGCCCAAGGCCACTGACTATTTATTCAGGAGCATGTGCCTGGATCCTCACAAAATCTGGGAATCTGGACAGTGGTAATTGTGGCCATTCTGAATAGTTTTGCCAAATCCAGTCAGGGAGTGTTTTCAGAGGTGTGGATTTTCTGGCCTTAGCATCAGTCTTCAGGCCCCCACAACAGAGGGTTCCAAACCTCTGTGCTTCCTGACAAAACACAGATGACCCACAGAAATTTTCTATGTGAGAAATAGAAAATGTTTACCTCTGGAAACAGAGGTTTTTTGGGAGCGTTAGCAACATTATTAGGGGTTTTTCTTGGTGATTACAGCTTCCAACAGCAGATGGTGACAGAAAGAGTCCAAAGGGTATAATGTGGTCTTGAGAGAACATCAAGAAATTCTATTCTAGGAGCTTAGACTACACATAATTTACCAGTAAGATGACTTGAATATCTCCCTACGGCACAACAAGAACATTTCCAAATAAGACCAATGACTGACCCAAAATGAATAATTTCACATGAAACTTTAATCGTCTCTACTTCTGGGCCACCATTCCTTTTGCCCTGACTCAGTGGATGCCCATGGGTCATGATTTGGGTTTTTCCATGAGACTAGTGATTACCAAAACTCAGAATTCTGGCTAAGACACATGTTATAAAGGATTTCACTTTAGCCTCAACTTCCTCCTCATAGGAAAGGCTTAGAATTTATGAAAAGAAGGGTCACTTTGACCCAGAGATATCAAATCTGTTCTATTCTCAGGCATCTAGAAAGACCCATTCTCATGCCATAAGCCATGGGCCTCTCTGGACTCATGGGGAAAAAGAAGTTGTCTCCCCCATTATCGGGCCTCAGATGGTGTTCCTGGTCTTGAAGACCTTAACCATGCCCTCAAGTACATGAATAAATATAAAGAGGCTGAAGCGAGAGGATTGCCTGAGCTCAGGGGTTTGAGACCAGCCTGGGCAACTTGTCAAGACCTCATCTCTAAGATAAATCAAAAAATTAGCTGGGTGTGGTGGTTCACACCTATAGTTCCAGCTACTTGGAAGGCTGAGGCAGAAGGATCACCTGATCCCAGCAGGTCGAGGCTGCGGTGGCTATGAGCATATCACTGTACTCCAAACTGGGTGACAGAGTGAGACTCCAACTCAAAAAAAAAAAAGAAAAAAAGAAATTATAGACTGGCTTTTTTAAAAAAATCAAGTCTTTCTCCAATGAAGTTCATCATCTGTTGTAGGTTTCCAGAGCACATCAAAAATAAGGATCCAATCCCAATGGTTCTTCCAGTTCTGAGATGGGAATGTATTCTGTGTAACTAACCAGTCTCTTGCCCAAGTGAGAAGACTTGAGTTCTCCAGAGCATAATTAAAACCAAGACTTACTATTATTATTACTCCTAAGTGTTGGGTTTAATAATAATAGTTAAACATTTATTTTAAAACTTCATATGATTGCTCCTTTTTCTTTCTCATTAATTTTCCTTTCCTCCATTCTAACCTTTGGTATTTTCTTGGTCTGGGCAGAAGGACTTTCTCCTATGAAAATCTCTTACCTACAGGGATTCTCTCCAAAGTTACAAGTGAGCACCAAATAGTTTTAAGCAACTTTCTACACTTGCTCAAATCTAACTGAATTCCTAGTTGCTTCACAAATAAAAGGTCAATTTAACTTTAAATGACTGCAAACTTTTTTTTTTTTTTTTTGAGTTGGAGTCTCACTCTGTCATCCAGACTGGAGTGCAGTGGCCGCTCCCGGCCACCACAGCCTCGACCTGCTGGGCTCCGGCAATCCTTCCGCCTCAGCCTTCCAAGTAGCCGGAATTACAGGCGTGCGCTACCACGCCCGGCTGATTTTTTGACTTATTGTAGAGATGAGGTCTCGCAGCCCAGGCGGGTCTTGAACCCGCGGGCTCAGGCAATCCACTCACCTCAGCCTCCCAAAGGCGTGGGATTACAGGCTGAGCCACCAAGCCTGGCTGACTGCAAACTTTTTAACTCTTAAACTATATGTAGCTAATATTTGAAATCTACTATTTATCTCAATGAACAATTTATTAACCTTTTAATCTCATATTTGATAAATATAAACATCTCATATCCTTTTAACACATTAGAATTTTCAAATAGATGCTATTACTAAAAAAAAAAAAAGTTTGTGATATTGAATATACTTTTTCAGCCCAACTTGCTCCACTTACCCAAAGATTCTGATATGATCCCCCGGGATAGGCCAAACCACTGTCATTGACAAAAAGAATTTTCAGTATTTTAAATATTTTAAGGAAGACTTCCCAGCAAGGTGCTATCTTGTAATATGGCAGTCTTCAAATATATGAGGACATTGTTCACTTTGTAATTCTCACCTTGTTTATGATGAATTTTTGCAGAATTGAACCTTTCATGATTCATGCTTTTACCAGTCAGAATGTGGAGGGACATTTACTAAACTCGAGTTTCATTTCTTCTCTTTTGGAGAATTTCTGCTCATCTTTCAAAAGAGTCATGGCAGGCTATGTCCCATGGTCGATAGAGACCTCCCCCCACCCCCAAACTACCTTCATTTGTTCTCAGGGACTCAGCATACAACAGGATGGCTGACCATTTGTAACTACAGCTTCTTTCTTATATTTTTGTTCCAATATTGGAAGACAACTGCAATAAACATCGTCCAAAACTTTTGAATTTTTTTCTGCTTACTAAAGACTATTTTATAAAACTTCAATTACTCATTCAAATCCAAATCTCAAAAAATAGATATGTATTAGAGAAGGAATGAAAAAACCTTTACTCATTCAGAATATCAAGAAATGAAGGAGATTTCAGAGTATGGAGTTTTGAGTTAAAAAAAAAAAAAAGTTCCAGATACTTTCTTCTTTCCTTCAGTTTTTGAATTTGACTGAGGGAAGGTAAAAATAATTGCTAGAGCCCCTAATGAATTCCCTCTAGTAGAATACTATCATAGAGGAATCAGTTAAAGCTCAAGCCTGTAATCCCAGAACTTTGGGAGGCCAAGGCCTGAACCCAGGGGTTCAAGACCAGCCTGGGAAACTTGGTGAGACCTCATCTCTACAATATATCAAAAAATTAGCTGGGCGTGGTGGTGCACGCCTGGGGTCCCAGCTGCTTGGAAGGCTGAGGTGGAAGGATCACCTGAGCCCAACAGTCAAGGCTGCGGTGGCCGTGAGCATGCCACTGCACTCCAGCCTGGGCAACAGAGTGAGATGCTAACTCAAAAAAAAAAGAAGAAGAAGAAGAGGAAGAATCAGTTCTAGCAACAGCATGAGCAGTGACCAGTCTTCTTCAGATGCAAATTCCCACTTGACCCTATTCTGTCTTCTTCTTCAGAACATTCTTCTTGTAAAATAGTTTAAGGCATTTCAGATTTTCCCACCTAAATAGGGCCATAGAATCATCATTCTTTTTCATGTGGAACTTGATATCCAAGTTAGTAGTGAGAGCTTATGAGCTGGTTCACTCCAAATCTTTGTGCCAAAAATAATAACTTTTTTAAAAGATCACATTGCATCTAATAAAGAACTCTAGTTGTGTAAGAGACACAGAGATATCTCCAAGTCAGACAGTGTTTCATAGGCCACTGAGTTATTAATCAGTGCACTGCAGTAGTCATTTGGTAGGTACCACTCTTAGTTGGTTGTTAACCCAAAAGGTCAACAATAATTCTTGCTCACTTCTTTTCTGAGATATCTGTATCTGATGTTCCCATATTTTTTTCAGAGTGTCAATCCATATCTACAAGGTCAGAGACTGGACAATGTTGTTGCAAAGAAGTCCGTTCCCCATTTTTCAGACGAGGATAAGGACCCAGAGTAAAGAGAAGATGCTGGGTGAAAGCCATGCTGCCTGTTAGGCCTCAGTATCGCTTCTGTGCACGTGTTCTTAGAGCCCCCCCCCCCGCCGTGAATGGCTGCATGTTTCTTACCTAGATAATTATGGATGAAAAGCAAGCTGTATTATGATATTGCATCATCTTCACACTGATGGCTCTGCTTTCTGCTAAATTAGAATAAGAGCTTTTATTGTTTTTTCATTTTAATGTGAATTTGCAATGATCGCTACAATTAAAATGTAAATGTCAACAACAGTAAAAGCAAGGATATGAAATGTCCAGATTTCTTGGAGTTTAAAATGGTGTTTGGGGTTGTACTGTTTTCTGTTTTGGTCAAGTCTAAAAAGCTGGCATTTGATTGCTACACCAGTAAAAGAGTCTGCACTCAAAAGGAGGAGCTGACACTTCTCACTTGGCTTCATCTTAATAAATATGTATGCAAGCATTGGCGTGTGACGTTTTTTTACTTGGGGCATTATAAAGAACAGTCTGATCTACATACATGATTTTATCTGACCCTAACAACAATGCTGTGAACTAAATGGGTCTGGCGTTATCCCCATTTTACAGACCTTAGAAAGGAGACAGTTCAACACACCATAGGGAGCAACCAGCAAAATCCAGAATGGGGAGACAAGTAGTCTAGCTTTTTTCAACCAAATAACAAGGGGAAAAACGGTGAAGGACTATAAAGATGTCAAAAAGGGCTGGGCTCAGTGGCTCAGCCTGTAATCCCAGCACTTGGGGAGGCTAAGGCTAGTGGATTGCCTGAGCCCACGGATTTGCGACACACCCGGGCAACTTGGTGAGACCTTGTCTCTACAATAAATCAAAAATTAGGCTGGTGTGTTAGCGCGTGCCTGACTACATAGAAGGCTGAGACAGAAGGATCACCAAAGCCCAGCGGGTTGACGCTGGGGTGGCCGTGAGCGTGCGTGCCACTGCACTCCAACCAGGCTGGGCGACGGAGTGAGACTCCAACCCAAAACAAAAAAATGTCAAAAACAAGCCAGGTGGCTCACAACTGTAATCCCAGCACCTGCCTAGGCAAAAAGACCTTGTCTCTACAATAAATTAAAAAATTAGCTGAGCATGGTGGCGCATGCCTGTAGTTCCAGCTACTTGGAAAACTGAGGTGGAAGGATTGAGTGAACCCAGGAAGTCGAGGCTGCGGTGGCTGTGAGCATGCCACTACACTCCAGCCTGGGTGACAGAGTGAGACTCTGACTCAAACATTTAAAAAAAAGACAAAAGATGTATGAACCAAATATAATGTGTGTGGGTCTCATTTGTATCCTAACTCGAACAAATCAAAATAAGAAAAACGTTGATCATTCACCTGGGGAAGTTTGAGTAGGTGTTTGATGCACTATTAGTTTTGTTTTTATTTTTTAAATTGAAGTCTCATTCTGTCGCCCAGGCTGGAGTGCAGTGGCATGTTCATGGCCACCACAGCCTCCACCTGCTGGGCTTAGGCGATTCTTCTGCCTTAGCCTTCCAAGTAGCTGGAACTACAGACGCACACTACCGCATCCAGCTACTTTTTGTGATTTATTGTAGAGATGAGGTCTCACCAACTTGCCCAGATTGGTCAATCCTCTTGCCTTGGCCTCCCAAAGTGCTGGGATTATAGGCTGAGCCACTGCACCCAACTGGGTGCACTATCAAAGTGCTACCTAGTATCAGAATTACGACTATGTTTTTTTTTAAGTACCCTTATTTCTCAAGGTTAAATATTGAATTACTTACAGATTAAATGATACGATGTCTTGGATTTGCTTTAAAATAATCCAGTGGTAGCATGTGGCGAGGAGCAGGAGGGATATCCATTCATCAAGATTGGCCATCCATTGATAACTGTTGAAACTGGTTCAAGTGTACTTCAGGGTTCATTGTACTTCTATTTCTATGTTTGTGTATATTTGAAAATTTCCAGCAAAGGTTAAAAAGTAAGAGTAGTTCATGGAAAGCATTAACTTTGATGAAGCTCAAATAAATTTCATGCCTGATGAAGGCAGTAACTGCTGGAAGTAGCAATGTAGGACAAGGTAGAAAGTTCTACTGGATAAGGCTGTGAAAAATGTGAGGAAGCACAAATAAAGATTAATAAGGAGTTTACCCAGGGCGCTGTTGAAGGAAGTAGCAGAGAGGCTCATGGGAGAGAAAATCTGGTTGGGGTTAGCAGTAGTGAACTAGATCGTGAGTGGTCAAAGTGACTGGGAGGAGAAGGGATATTAATGGAAAAAGGAAGGAAACTTGGCAGTTTCCTGCCAAGGAAGGAGGGCCTCTACCAGACTGATAGACTCAGAAAGGTCATTTCTTTCTGAGTGGAGTCCGGGCAGCAAGCAACTACGCAGAGACACACTGCTTTGCCTGGGGGCTGTGAAGAGTCATTCCCTCCTGTCTCAGTCTATCAGTCTTTCCACAGTGCTCCAGCCAAGGGCTTTTGATGGTTGGAGTCATCCTGGGGACATGTGGAGAACAAAAGAAAAGCACGAGCAGTAGCCTGAATATAAGGCACAGGGTCTGCACCACAGCCATTCTTTCTGACTGAACTCCTGCTGTGAGCACAGCCAGCTAGAGGTCCCCAGAGCAGTTACGCAGTAGGAGAGGAGTTTCTTCAGATGAGAATTTCCTCTGTTCTTGCCACTGGAGGGGAGGAGGGCTGGGAGGGAGAGAGAAAGAGAGGAAAAGGAGAAAAAGGAGAAAGAGAGAAATAGATTGTTAAGTGTTTTCCATAGCTTTTGTGCAAAGCCATCTTCCCCCCCTCACCACCTTCAAAGTGAGTCACATGCTAGGTCCTCAGGCTGGGTATTCTAAGGATGGTTTTTCAAAATGTATTTGCACCTAGCAATGCAAAATGTTGCAGATCACACCTGGGATTCCTGATAGGACCAATTCTGAGTTTGGAGTGTGTCAAGATTCACAGAGACATGTCACAGATATCAGCCACAGGCTTAAGGCCAGGGGAACAGAAGTCTCCAGGTCCACTACCAGGCACAGAATCACATGGTGATCACTAAGTGGCCACCGCCTAGGCCCAAGGGGACGGGGGACAGGAAAATGGGAACACATTTAAAATAGATTGTCTGCTACTTGGTTCCAGTTCCAGCTACTTGGAAGGCTGAGGCAGAAGGATCATCAGAGCCCAGCAGGTTGTCACTGGGGTGGCCATGAGTGTACCACTGCAATTCAACCTGGGCGACAAAGTGAGACTCCAACTCAAAAATAAAAATAAAAATAAGAATAGGCCAGACGGTGGTCCAAGACTACAATCCCAGCACTTTGGGAGGCTGAGGCGAGAGGATTGCCTGAGCCTGCGGGTTCAAGACCAGCCTGGGCAACATGGTGAGACCTCGTCTCTACAATAAATCAAAAAATCAACCAGGCGTGGTAGCGAATGCCTGTAGTTCCAGCTACTTGGAATACTGAGACGGAAGGATCACCTGAGCCCAGAAGGTTGAGGCTGCGGTGGCCGGGAGCGTGCTACCGCACTCCAGCCTGGGCAACAGAGTGAGACTCCAACTCAAAAAAAAAGAATGAATAAAAAATAAAATAGATTGTCAGCTAAAAGAACTCAATCTTTTTGGGAAGACTGTGAGGGAGAGGGTGGTTGAGGGGAGGGCATGGTTGATGACCTCTCATATCACGCTTTTTTGTGTTTTGGACCTCACACATACTTCCATACAGTCCCTGTAGGGACATAATAATAGGAATTACTATATACACACACAGAATATTCTCTATGACATGTTTCATTTAATCTTCCCTCCTGACACTTTATAGATAAGCCTTTGAGGCTGAAGGGTTGCATGGCTTAAGACTCTACAACTACCAAGTGGCAGAGCTGAAATTTGAACTTAGATCTCTTGAACTCCATAGTTCATTCTCTCCCCTGTACCACACTGCTACTTGTTAAAAGAAAATTAAATGTAACAGGCAAATTAAATGTAACAGAGTTGGCTGGGCTTGGTGGCTCAGCCTGTAATCCCAGCACTTTGGGAGGCTGAGGTGAGTGGATTGCCTGAGCCCATGGGTTTGAGAGCAGCCCAGGCAACTTGGCAAGACCTCATCTCTACAATAAATCACAAAAATTAGCCGGGCATGGTAGCACGCGCCTGCAGTTTCGGCTACTTGGAAGGCTGAGGTGAAAGGATAGCTGCAGCCCGGCAGGTAGATGCTGGAGTGGCTGTGAGCATTCCAGCCTGAGCAATGGAGTAAGACTCCAACTCAAAAAAACAAAAACAAAAACAAAAAACCTAACAGAGTTTAACTAAACTGAGAATCAGGTAACCCTCAGAATCCCAGAAGATCCAGAGAAAACTCCAGGTTGAGGCTGCGATGAGTCATGATCATGCCACTGCACTCCAGCCTGGGTGCCACTGCACTCCAGCCTGGGTGACAGAGGGAGACCCGACTCAAAGCAACAACAAAACAAAAAATAGACTCCAGGGCTACTAGGTGGTCAAAGAAGGTTTGTGGACAGAAAAAGGAAAGTGACAAACAGAAAACAGGAGTGAGGTACAGAAACAGACAGACTGGTAACACTGGCAGTTACCTTACTTGAACAGTTTGAACAATTGGCTACCTTTGGTCAAAACTCAGTGATTGGCACAGAGTAGGTTACAGTCTCTTTACTCTTCCAATTAGGTGATAGTGCACTGTGGACAGAGAAACCTCTAGGTTGAATTTAAAATATGTAAGGTAGCAGCTTTAGGCTAGACTTAATTTAACATTCCCAATATTTATCTGCATAAATATGCCTGTCTCATTCTATTGGGTTATAAACTCCTTGAGTCCATAGACTGTCTTTCATTTTTCTTTTTATGCCAATATCTTGCATAGGGTCTGACAAGGGCAATAACTGTTTGCCAGATGAATAAACATCATGGAATGTTTTAAAGAAGCCATAAAAAGTCATTAGGACATTGTGGCTCACGCCTTTAATCCCAGCACTTTGGGAGGCCGAGGCAGGAGGATCACTTAAAGCCAGGAGTTCAAAACCAGACTGGGCAACCAAGTGAGATCCCCATCTCTACAAAAAAATTAAAAATTAGCCAGGCACTATGGTGCATGCCTGTAAGTCCCAACTACTTGGGAGGTTGAAGTGGGAGGATCATTTTCCCAGAGGTTGGGGAGTTGAGGAAAGTTTAAGCATCTTAGACTATGTGTAAAGAGGAAAGGGTGTTTTTATCTCTCACTCTAGTTGGGTTTACAAATTGACTTTAAGTTGTATATGTGATTCTCTGGTCTTTTTTAGAATCTGCCATTAGAACTACCCACTGCTTTCCTAAGTCACTGCCCAAATGTTGGCATTTTGGGAAGTGTCAAGGCACAGAGTTCCTACCAAACATCTCAATTTTCTGCCCACCATTGATTACCATGCATGCCTCACTTATTAGGGAGATAAACCAGATCAGTGCAAGGGTTCTGTTCACCATGAGG